CGAAACCGTATATTTAATCATGTTACGTTCTTTTAGTCAATTTTGACTCGTATTTTTTTTAATATTAAAGTGTAAAAGTGCCTCAAGTTTGAGCACAATATGATAGAACCGTTATCAATACGTGGGATTTCTTGTTTTAATTTTATTTCAGAGATTTCTTTAAGACGTTAAAAGTCTTCTTATTCGTAGAAATGAGAGAAAGATTTTTTAATTTATTAACGACAAATGTTTTATACAGTACGACATATACGCTTATTTCTACGTCTACAACTTAATTTATGAAACAAATAATACAATCAAAATTGCATTCATGGAATGCCTTTCATAAAGAACATGAAATAACAAAAGTAGAATTCGAAATTCAAACAAAATACTCAATTTAACGACGAAACAAAATCTCTTTTTCTTTCGATCATGGCCCATGGATTAGGTAAAACCACGTGTCTACATGCACTGTTATCCGTACCACGATTTTCAATCCGCATGCTGGTGCACCGCAAGAATTTTTGAAACGTACAATACCTATTTAGTCAGGAGCATTGACCTCTTTTCCCTTAGACTGTCGCATAAAAGCAACATTAGCCATCCGGTGTGAATATCCTGTCTTGAACCGAATATATTTTTTGCTGTGTCGCAGAACTTGAATAATTATTTTGTTGCTTCTAAAAGTTGAAAATCGCTGCTATAGCCGTATTGCTGTTGATCTAAATTAACAAGGGTAATATCGAACATCATGAAACTCTTCGGCTCTACAGACAGTGCAGTTATTAATCAAAACCATTAACCGCTTATCTTAAATCACAATCTACTGCTCCAACATTTGTATGTTCATAGATAAAAAGCTGGACGCTAACTTCTTCATATTTCAAACTGTATAACGACCACGATAAAACTTACATTGGAAATCAGGCTCGCTTCATTCCCACCATTCAGCCTTATCTGTGCTTCTGAGTCATCGTCCCGATCGAATCCACGAAGGCACCATCAATTTTAATCATGCTTTGCGACGAGAATCGATAACAAAATCACCGATACCATGGTGCAATTTCTGCTCTCGATTCATAATTCGTATCCATTCGAATGAGAATTCTTCGAACGCGTAAACCCCGTGCGTTTTCATTCATCGCGTTGAATCCGCGTTCGAAAATTGCTCGGCTCGACTCGCAGCGGAGAAACGGACGGATATTAGGCCCCAATAACCTGATTCTCGTCGCTTTATTCTCATCGCGCGTACTCGGACACGTTATTTTTCAGCTCTCCCTAGATCCCCTTGGAAAGCATACCGATCACATGTTGCGCGTCGAGTTGACACGAGCATACTCGCGGTGTTCGTGATCTTTATCGACGAATAACGAAAGTAACGATTATTGCCAATAACGAATAAGAAGACGTTGTGAAAATAAAACAATTACAACAAAATTATAGAAATCGTGGAAGCGTTCCAAAGATGACTATAGACACTTTATGCTTTATTGGATTTCTCGAGTGTCTAATTAAAATTAAAAAAAAGATTACTGAATAGTTCGATCCATTCTAAATGCCATTGATCGTACAAGTACATCGTATTGAGATCTAAGAAACTAAACAAAACGAGTGCATAAAATCTCGCATCATGATACCTTATTGTTTTACTTCATTGATTACCTGCTTTCCACGTCAGTGAAAAGTAGGAAAAAATGCATGAAAACGTACCAGAGCGAGAACGCGAATCAAACAATAAGGATATTAATGAATTCTTCAACGAGTTTCGGAGAAATTTCTGCTAGAATCTTCGCCGCGACCTTTGAAACTGGTATAGAACATGTTCCGCAGTGATCAGAATTAATTAGGCAACTCCAAAGAAGTAAATGTTACTTGCCATTATTTATAGAAATTATAATTGCTCAATCAGATATACTACAAGTTTTTAAGAAATTGCAATATAAAAATTTAGAACGCTATCGGAAATATTTCTTTTATGCACTCTTTCTTGATATTGTAGGTATCTACTAGTGCAATTGAAATAAATCTCGCATAATATTTCATACACTTTATAGCAAGAAACATGTTTCGAATAAAATATGAATGAGCGAAGCGTCAAAGACGATCAATTGCGATCGTTGAATATGACAAATCGACGCGATAATGAATTATAAAGAAAGGAATAGTGTACTGTAAAGGTCTAAACAGATAAGTAGATTTGCAATTTATCAATTTATTTCGATCAGATAAAAGGAATTGGATCGAACAATTAGTTTCTTGTAGAAGGTTGATGCTTTTTACTTTTTGAAGTTGTTACAGTAAAATGTTATAAATAAATGCGCATGCTTATATAATTTAATATTCTTTTTGTCTGTATATCTTATATCTTATATTTTTATACTGTAAATAATCTTCTTTCATTCTAGTCAAATGTAAAATAGAATTTAACTTTCGAAACAACTTAATAATATGTGTTGCAATATTGTTTCTGAAATATACAATGAAAAATCTACCTGTCCAGAGATTGAAAACCTTTGTACACCACAGTACATCATTTATATGAAAATCAACGTTAACTCCTAATTAATATCATTCGGCTATTAATACCATAAATAATCTAAAATTAGGATTTTATTTCATTTCATTACTAACCTCTGTATCGAGAATGTAGAATGCGAAGTAAAATTAAAAATCCTAAACTTTTTTCATCCAGCATGAGCCGTCTATAACCTATCGATACTATGAAGGCCAGTGATGTATGTGAGGATAGATTAATCAGTCTGCGAGGGCCTTAAGAAGCCTAACCCAAACCAAAGGTAGAAATTGTACTTTCGAATGCAATAAATTACCCAGATTAGCAGGACGATTTCGCGTGCTCGCGGTGTCGCAGAGCTGTGGCATGTAAGAGATGACAATCGAGTGAAACAGACGGAACACCGAGACACGTCTTACACGCGACAACACCTGTCACGCGTTTTGCGTTTCGTGAGCATGTACGCGATTAACTTCCATCTCTGCTCACGTGTTATTTTCGCTCAAGAAAGTTGACGTTTCTCCTGCATTTGTGTCGTTCCTAGATGCAACTCGTACCCTCGTCCTCACCTGCAGTCATATTGCATCGTCGCAACGTGATTATACTGTCTTCGGAGTTCTAACACCTTGGATTTATTCCTATGTCTCTTAATCCTGCTGCAATCCTTCAATTTATTATATCCCAATCTCGCTTTCGTTTCAACGAAGCAAAAACTCGAGACCGGACTTTTAATGTTTTAAGAAAATCTTTGATTCTCCGTAACAATTCCTTTTTATCTTTATTAAACTTAAACAAATTTTCGAAGAGTTTTGCAAGGATCGGGAAAAAGTTAAACTTTGGTTTACTTTATTCGTAATATAATATGCAGTAATACAGTTTGTTGTATAAAGTACTTACATATATTATTATTCATTTGCGATTTCATTGTTGCATTAATGAGAACCCTAATTGAAGAACTTGAATTATGCAAGCACCAGTTATCGAGAAACTCATTTCCGTTGTACTAAATTCTCATTGCTTGGTTCTTCGCTGTTACAGCGGATAACTGGTAGTAATTATTGTTCGAAAGTTCCATATATATACAGGGTGCGTCTGCAATCACGACGCTACAGCCGGAAAGGGAGTGATTCTGTGTGATAAAGTAATCGAAAACGTAGAATAGAACCTTTTCGTGTGATACCTTGTATTCGAAATGACCATGGTAGACGGGACGACTTTAAATAGAATGAAAAAAGAGATTGAGTTTGATTATGACATAGTTAGGTGCACGCAAGAATATCCAAGGTAAATTTTCTTAAACAATAAGATTCATAGCAAGCAATTTCATTTTATATTTTCGACTTATTTTTTGGCGTAGAGTTTCTTCCCGATTGTATTGTGATTTTTGAAACCTGTTTCCCAATTTTGAGATTAAAGATATTACTACAAAATAAATATACTTTTTAAAGTCTGTACTATCGTAAGTCTGTTACCTATTTATCATTGCACTAGTGTGTTTTATTTTCGAATCATTGTACCGACACCGAAAAGCTTATTTAGAGCAATTATTCTTCCTTTCGTATCAAACAAGAAACTGTAATCAAGTATAATCTTTTCTCCAAAGTAAATAATGTTCCTGTTATAGCAGATTAAATGAGTATGATCTTAATGCCCTTCATAGACGTTTTCGAACAAGTTTTCCTTTTTCGGAACATTATCTTGGAAAACATGTATAATAATTTAGTAGCAATTTCTCATTGTTAGAAAAATTAGAAACTTAAAGTTATTACAGCTCGTGCGTCTTAGCTATGGAAGTTAAACACGAGACGAATGCCGCCTACTTTGTAAGAAAAATTTAATAAAAACATGCAATATCATCTACCAACCAATTTGTTTTAAACACATTTATATCTAATGCCATGCTCATTAAATTTACGGTATTAAAGAGAAGAAAGTTTAAAAGATAGGCGATACAAAAATACAGCATAATTGTATAAAATGAAATTATAATTTACAAAAGCATTGAATAGATATTATATATATATTTCAAAATACTCGATTGCCACAAAGTTCGTAGTAAAGATATGGTAAATAAATATTCCACGTTATTTGTATTATTTGCTATAGCACGCCTTTAATAATTTTAGAATTTCCATTGCAATCGATTCGCAATTAAATTCATTCTCTAAAAACAGGATACGCTAAAATAAAGCAAAAGATCTGCGAGATGTTTGATTATTATAAGAAGATACCGCAACTCGAAAAAATTGAAACACGTTGCTCAATGCATAAAATCACAAAGATTGATTGCACTCGTCTTTAAAACATCATCTAACGATAATAATTAATCACAAATTTCCAAACATTGTATCGTCGAACCCAAACAAAAAAATATATTAGGTTGTTCGAAAAGTTTCTTTCGTTTTATAAGGAAATAATAGACGCACAATGTTTTTTGTTTTATATTAGTTTATTGAAATATATATATATACAAAAATTTGACCTTTACATCTGTTTGTTTGCATAGTGTGGCATTGGCGCTGCCTTAACAGAAGGCGCCGTCGGAAGCGTCAGCGGTACTGGCAGCGGTGGAAACAGCAGCAGTGGCGGTGGAAACAGCAGCAGTGGCGGTGGCATGGATTGCATGCCCCTACGACCAGGTCCTTTTCACTACCTGATCAACGAGCAGGCGAAGTCCTTGATCGCCCTGCAGGAGCTCCAGAATGAGGTCGGCGCCCTTCTCGAGTTCC